ATGCGAGGGAAATACAGTTGCTTAGCATTACATTCTTCCTGAAATCATAAGACATCCCTCGCTGTCTCTTTCTGCTCGCTTCATTTCTTTGGCCATGTTTAAGGCCTGAAGACAAAGGTGAGGAGTCCACAGATGTCCAGAATGTCCTCCTTTGTCTTGAAGAAAGACATTTATCTAAATTATAACTACGTAGATTCTCATTCTTTTCAGGCCGTGTTTCCCTTCCTTCCAATAACAAAGTGCAGTCACTGCTCCAGTCTCACTCACTGGGGGGTTTCACAGTTAAATGCAGACATTAATTACACTTTATTTCTTAGAATTAAGAAAGTACCTAAAAATAAAAAAATCTAAAAAACTTTCTAATCCTAGTCTAGTATGAAAGAAAATAAAAACAATTAGGATTACAGCTTCTTTTAAAAAATTCTCATTTTGGTAGATTTGGAGAAACAGGTTGGAAACAATGGAATTGAAAGATAAATATTTGTTTAGATTTTTTCTTTTGACTAATTTTGTTCACACTGCGTTTTAATTGTTTGACAAATGAAATACAAGCTGTTAAGTTTCTATCAGCAACAAATGATCAACAATCAACAAAATCTCATTCACTCCGATCCTATCTCCAGAGCTGGAAATAATGCACTGTTTGTACAAGGTAGTCTGGGAGTGTAACATTTCCACAGCTCCCATCTGTTTCGCCCTCGTTTTCCTCCCCCTTTAAACCTGCTGAAAAAGACAAAACCTCATTTGTTTCCTGCGCTGAGATCAATAACAGCTCGACACCATGAGAGACCGGCTGAAGGGATTCTCCGCTCCTTCCTAATGGGACAGGCTGGTGTGAACACGGAGACGAGGCTGGGCAGACTGAGGCTCAGTGGTTCAGACCACAGTGCCATCGCACCCAAAAAATAAATGAATAAAAACTGCCAGTGGTCAGGAGGATCAGAAATGACCAACTAATCATTTGGATTGTAGTCAAATTAGCACTATCATCATCCACGGCCGGTCAGAGAGTGGACAGCTGAGACAGGGTTCAAGGCCCTCTTTGTCAATTTGTAATTTAGGAAATTGCAGCATTGTCTTCCCTTGGGGTTGGACCGGACTGGTTTGAGCGACCGTTGGGAATGTTTACGCTGCACATTGGTCTCCCCGGTCGCCAATCAATCTCAGCATGTCTTTAAGGAACAAGAGAAAAAAGAGGTAGAAGCTCTTGTTTTCATCCTTTTGTTTGTTCAACAGTTCCCGTCGTCTCCTGCAGAACTGCTGACAAAATTGCTGCCGTAGCACATTAACTGCGAGTGTGTGAGTGTGCACAAAAGTACCCTGTGTGTGTGTGTGTGTGTATGCGCACATGTGTGCAGATGTGAATGTGAGATCTCACCGTGTTTTACCTCAAAGACATGCGTGTTTGCCCCGGCTCCTGTTCCTCCCAGAGCTGTAAGAATATCAGCCATCACCAGAAGTAACTCTGTGGTCGACTTGATTGACGCGAGAGGCCTCACCACCAGCCATTCAAGGCACATTCTTACAGGGATCTCATATCGCCGGGGGTTGGCTCGAGCACTCCTGGTACCTTCCAAGGAAAATAAGCGCCGTGACATCAGGGCTTTGTTTCAACGGCTCGGCCCCTTCTGTTTGTGTTTAATATCACTCTGAGAGAAGTGGATAGAGGGCCAGCCAATTTCTCTGGCCCCGACCGCTGAGCCTGGTGCTTCGGCAGCGAAGCAGACGGTGGTCTCATGTGTCTGCAGCGTAACACTGTCGATCCCTCTTGGTCCTCTCCTCTATTGCGCTCTCTTTGCTTTTAGATCCCTTATTCCCGAGAGGCTTTGCAGTTTTGACTACGGGGAAATCAGATCTCACAACAGGCTGAGGGGGCAGAGAGCAAAACAGAGACAGAAAAACCCAGAGATGGAAATGGAGATGGAGAGAAGATATGAGGAATGATTTTGGGGGAAAAAAACTTGGAAAAAAAGAACGAGGGTCAAAGGGAGATCAAAGCATAAAGAGGACAAAGGAAGGAGGGAGCAGCAGAAGGAGGTTAAGAGAATAGATGAGGTGAGAGGGAAGGAAAATGCCAGGAAAGTAGGAAAGCAGAAAGGACTGAGAGCAGGGAGTCTGAAGTGAAGGCCAGCCACGTCTGGGTGGTTTTCCTGAGGACAGGCTCTTTGATTCTGCACCACTCACACTCCAATGCATTTAGACAGGGGTTGACAGTGGTTTCAGGCAGCGGTTTGTCTGGCCAGCTAGCTTTGATTCAGAAGACCCTGGACTGTGGGCCCAGTATTTGACTCTTTGATTTTTGCTAAGTACCTTGGATGGAAAACGGGTAGGCCTGTGGATCCCCCCCCGCCTCTCCCCCTCGACATTTTCATTTTACTGAATACAGTTGGCCTGTACTTTTCATTTCTTTTATTTGACATATTGTATAATTTTATAGTACTTTTAAGTGTTCCACCATTGACTCAGACACTAAAGGATGGAAAGGCAACTGTACGATAGCCACTTGAAGGGAGTTGCGACCTACTCTCTCTGTTCTTGTTAGCATTTAGAGGGAAACTCAAGTGAGCTGTACATACAAGTGTCAAGTGTTTCTCGTAACGTATTCAAATATCACATCTTGATTTTATATTATTTGACTTCACGTGTCTTTTTGCGAAGCGTTTTATCTCACGAAAGAAAGGAAACTTATGAGACCGTGACACGTACAGTTAGAGATGTCGGTACGAAACACTCTGATTTTAAATCGCTTCAGTTTTGCAGAAAAAATCTTTTTGGTTGGACATTAATGATGAACCTCTAAAAAACATTTGGAACGTCCAAAACAAATCCAGGAGGCTGCTCCATCAGGTAAACAAAGAGTAAATATTCACCCCAAAAGTACAGAAGGTTGTTGGTTTACATTTTCCTGGAAAAAAACACTCTTTATTTTGAATTATTGACAACTTCAATTAAACAGTTTACTGTTTGGGTTTGGGCACAACCATGACATGTGAGAATGACATACCCACAGAGCTAATATGGAGTCAGTTTATCGCAGGGCCACATATATAGACACCAGTAACCACTCACACTCTCCTACCTGAATACTATCAATTTAGAGGAAACCGCACGGAGTCACAACATACTGAAAAGCTCTCAGTTACTGCCAGGCACCAAAGAAAGAACATTAACCACTTTCCCCTGTGCATGTGCGGTGCACGTTGGTCAAACTGAGACGTGTTAGTACATGGTAGTAGTACAGGAGTGTTTGGCTCAGACACACACCGACAGAAACAGAGACAGAAAAGAATGAAAGAAGAAAAGCCACTGACTAGCTGCTGGCAAGCAGAGTTAATAGCCTGTCGGTTTTGCTGGTTTCTTCCTTTTCTGCAGCAGCTCTATGCAGCCCAGCTGGCAAGCATGCAGATCTCACCAGGAGCCAAGATGACTCCCCTCCCCCAGGCTCCCAACTCCTCTGGTCCTCTTTCCCCTTCTGCCCTGAAAGGTGAAAAGAGGGCGTCCACTCCTCTCAATCAGATCAAGGTAAGACCATGAAAATGATGTTGGAAAATTAAACCTTTAACTTGTGCCCTTTCGGGTGTACCAGCATCTACAGCATTGTTTCCCAAAGACTGGGTCGCGATCCTCAGGTGGGTTGCAAGATTATTTTTTTTGGGTCGTCTCGCTTCATGTTTTCCCATAGAGTTTACGATTATGTCGATTGACTTGGATCGTGAAGGTTTGTGACTTTTAAAATATGGGACCCCAGAAAAACATGTTTGGAAACAATGCTCTGACCTTTCGCCCACGGAGAACTGCAGCAAATCAGCCCTAAACTGCTGGTTTGTAATCGTAGATTTTGTTTTTCATTGTTTTTGAGTCACCTAGTAACATTTATTAAAAAAAATAAAAATTGTCACTACGAGATAACTTGATTTACTCAAAGCCAGTGCAATGGTAAAACCAGCGTCATCGTAGTGAACTAAGAGACTGTTAGAACAAAGGAAAGTGTGAGTTCTGACTGGAAGATAGAGAACACACAAGAAGAAAAATGAGATTGGAAATTTTGTTTCTGAAACAATGGCGTGTGTGCGCGCCTCTCAACTCGTCGCCGTCGATTATAGAAACACACAGATATGCACACATACGCAAACTGACACTGGCGCTGGCTGCTGTTTGGCAGGAGCCTCCAGTGGAGGGAGCGGGTGCGCCCCCCGGCGTCAGAGCTCACCGCACTCAAACAGTAGTGCCGTGCCCTCCAATCTCCCACAATTCCAACGCCCTCTACACACATGCTCACACACCCTGCCACACACACACACGTAGACACACACTTGGACTTGTCACCCGCAGCCCAGTCCTTCCTCGTCACCTCGTCACTGCGCCTGTGTGTTCATGAAGTTTTGTTTCAGCGGTGAGGTTTGAGTCAGACTTTTGTCGAGTGCAGCAGTTTAACTTGTCACTGCAGTTTCCTTTCCATGTGGAATAACACGATCACGATCCTTTGATTAGAAATGGAGACTGGCACAAACAAAGGTGCCATTGTTTAGAGAAGGAACACTGCAGGCTTGATTTTCCTGTCAGGTTGACAGAAGTTAGCTGTGTAATGTGTTTACTAAGGGCAAAGCCTGATAGAGACGACTGACGACTAATAGAATCACTGATGCAGTCAAAGACAAATGGAATAAATATTTGAAGTCGGTGGTTGTCTTCGACTCAGTCAGAATCCACAGCTGACGTACAGTTTAGGCTCAATTAGAGATGAATATGAGTTGAGATTATTTTATAAATGTTATTTTAACCAACTGAAATAAAAAGCTACTGTATGTATGGAATACATGGAAAAGCCCTAAAGATACAGGAGTTGTAAAACAAAACTTTTTAATTGACATATAATCAACAAACATTTTCCAGGAGTCTTTTTTATGTCCTTAAATAATTAGTTTATTTAAGGACATTGGTCCTTAAAATATTTTGATGCTAATTTGTGAATATTAATAAATAAAATTACTAATGAAATATTTCAGGAACTAACTCCCAGTAGTAGACACCTCTAAAAAGGTTGAAAATGTACACATGTACTTAGTAAAGACAGAGGGATTTTTTTTATCTCACTTTCCTTGATTTTAAAACTAAAATCTGTTTCTTTCATATGACCACAACTAAAAACTGACACCCAAAGTTTTACAGCCAGAGAATGAACAGAGAACGGATAATAAATGCTGCACATACATTTTTTTTAAACTCAATTTTTTTTAATTTGTTTTTTAAGAATTGTTTTTTTTTTTCTTCTTTTCTTTTACTCCAAGGAGGAAGGATCTACGCAGCCCTTGAACCTCTCTGCCAGACCTAAGACTGCTGATGCTCTTCGCTCGCCAACATCTCCAACTCAGAGTCTGTTCTCGGGAAACAAGAGCAGTCCTACAGGCATGGGCAAGGGCCGCATCCCCAGCCCCATCACCAACATGGGCAGGAACACCTCCCTCGGTAGGTCATGAGAGAACACAGCCGTGTTTGCCCTTATACTTGTAGCCAACTGGAGTAGTTGGACTTACACCACTGAGCCTGAGGTACAAACATACCTGTTCACTTTGACATAAAGTCACAATCACATCATGTTCACATCGGGCTTTTACCCCTGAGTGAAATGGGGTTTTTTTTTGTCTTTTTTTTTCAACCAAAAGAACAAAACCATTAGCCGCCCAAACGAATTACTCCTCCCTGCCACACACACACACACACACACACACACACACACACAGACAAACTGAACACTGCTGGTATCACCTTAACCCCATGTGAAGACGTGTGTGTCTGTCTGTCTGTTTGTGTGTTGTGTGAGTGTGTGTTTGTGTTTTACAGGAGGCCAAAGCCCTGTATTTAGCCCCAATGAAAACCCCAGCAGCGGAAGCAGTGAAACCCAGCACACGTTATTTGGTTTTTAAGAGCTTCCTCACATCATTGTCTGCCCGCACCAGACCTTTTATGCCCCTACCTCTGCTATCTGTTATTAAGGCCAATCTAAACCCTCTCATTATATCCCCCAGAAAACAATTTCACCGACTCCTCTGGAGTGGCTTTGAGGATGTGTCGCTTGTGTTCCTTACAAAGTTATTTTTTGCCCATTTTAACGGCCACCCAAGCATGCAGTGCTTCCTACTCGTGTGCTAATTAAACCAGGAGGGCAACGGAAACTTAGCATCCATTTATTTCTTTTTCCTTTCAAATGTGCATTGGCTTCAAACGTGTGAAGCCCATAAACAACCAGGAGGAGCTCCTGTCATGTTTAGTAACAAGTGGACTGGAAAACAACTCCAACAACTTTTAAGGCTGTTAAAACTTATGTAAAAGCTTAATTTAATGCTGTGTCGTTTAGAAAGAATTAGCCTTTGTGTTTGTTCAGAGCTGGGGTTTCATTTAAAAACTTCGAGGTGCAAAAAAAAAAAAAAAGAAAATCACACACAGGCAGTAGGAAGAGCTCTTTAGGGCTGAGAAACCCAAATGGCGAGCACTCAGAACCAATCTTTTTGGTTCATTATTCCACTGACAAACAAACAATAGTCCCGTTCTTCTCCTTCTCCTCAGACATCCTCTCCAGCCTCAACTCCACAGCCTTTGGGGACCAGGACGCTGTGATGAAGGCCATCCAAGAGGCCAGGAGCATGAGGGAGCAGATCCAGAGGGAGCAGCTCCACCACCACCAGCAGCAGCAGCAGCAGCAGCAGCAGCAGCAGTCGGGACACCAGAGTCTGGAGGCCAAGCTCTCTGCCCTCAGCGGCATGACCCTGAACAATGGCAACAAGGTTAGCTGGACACACAGGTCACATGTGAGAACATGAGACGATGCACTTGATACACTTAACTGATGAGCTTCATACGACTCACATGCAGCGAATGTAGTTTTCAGCGTCTCGCGCTTTCATGTGGAGAAATTATATTGTAGAGAAAGAAACTCACACAAAGTTTCAAGACAACCAAGACACAGAGTTCTTAAAAACTGAAAAGAAAAATATCTATAAAAACAATGAAGCTTTTTTTCTTTTATTATATATCCTCTATTTGAGTGTGAACACTCACTCTGCAATTGTGTTTTTGTCAGAACATTTCTTTTAATTCTGGAGAACGACTTTGACCCCAGGTCAAATTCTGCTTCTTTGTCTGGTTCAAGGACTGAAATCAGGTTCATTGCAAACATTCTTTCAGTTTTTGGGAAAGAAAAAAAAAACGTATTGAGATAAATCAAATTTGTTGCATGGCTTTGATAATTTTTATCAGATTTCTATTCAGATTTGGTTGAAAAATTGACGATTGTTCGGCTTCAACTTTTCTAAAGGTTAAAACACGGTGACACAGATATAATGATAGAACTTGGCCAAGACTTCTAGACAGGTCTTGAGAACTTTTGACTTCCTCTGGACTCTTTGCCAAATCTTCAAGTGAAAACCAAATTCACCAAAACCAGGTTTTAAAACTATATAAACATTAAAGTTTTCAGACATATTTTCAACTTTTTTCCACTTCTGCAGTAGTATATGTTATAAACCCAAATATGTCAACTTCATGCACCATGACTGATCAGATCTGTCAAACACCTCTGGACACTACAGCCAAACTCTTTGCCCCAGTGTTACATTCTGTAAGTATTTCATTAGCCAGCTGTTCAAGGTTTTGCTCCTTAGCTCAGGCACAAGTCTTAAGAATTTTCATGAATGTTTTCTGGCCGGGGCTGCAGTTTTGGAGAACCTCTCTTTTCTCCTCTCATCTCCATGGCCACCCAGAAGCTAACAGCTTTGAAGAGAGAGCAGCTGGGCCAATGACAAGTGATGGTTTTGGCGTGCGAGTGTGTTTGTGTGCCTGCACTAACGGAGAGTGAGTGGGCGTTTTTTTTTTTGGAAGAGGAGGTGGTGTTAACATCAGTGTGTGTGTGTGTGTGTGTACTAGAGTCCGGTTCTTCTCTTGCCCTGGGGGGACAGAACCCCGCCTCAGGGTTTTAGCCCAATTAAAGGGTCTTTCTCAGGGAAGGGACCTCCCCCTCTCTGTGTTCACCTCTTTTCACCACTATTCCTACCCCACGGGGTGAAGAAGACGGGGTCTTCGTATTAGGAAATCATATCCAGGGGGAAATTCTCTTTCCAAAACATCTTCAATAGGTTTGATCAGCCAATCACAACGTCCGTAGGTCAGGATTTAGTTGAAATCCGGCTTTCCTGCCCAATTGATTCCATGTTGCGTAGTAGGTGGAGAAGAAGAGCTCATGAATATTTTAAGGCCCGACAGTCTTTGAACCCATCCGCCCCAACTGGGTCACGACAGCAGCATTCGTAGGATAGGCTACTGTCAATGACTGTGGGCGTGTTTGCTTTAGATTTAGAGGAAAAAAACATCATAAACGTGGCCAAACATATTTCTAATGTACTTATCTTAAATCCCAAGTTGACTTTTTCTGGAAGGCGTTAATTTCAGTAAACACTGCAGGGCTCATAAATATCAAATTCTCAACCGTCTGTTTAGGAATTGTTTATTAAACATTAATGAAACTTGTAAAAAAAAAGAGATTTTCTTTTAGAAGTTTGTGTTTAAAAATAGCTTTATTTAAAATAAAACCGTAAAAAGATTTTGGAGGGTGATTCCAACATACTTCTCCAGCTCATTTTTTTCCACCTATAAGAACAAAACCAAAGAGATGCAGTCGTTTGGTTTACTGCTCCGTGCCTGCTAATAAAAAGCTCATTTGGAAAGTCTCAAAGTAATTGTTTCCGGAGAGAAGAGGACAGAAAGCTTTGGTGTTTGTTGTCATTTTGTTACTGGTTACCTAACAACTGCAGCTCAACCTCTTTCTTTTTGCTGTAAATACATAAATTTAGTCTTGAGGAAAGAGAATAGTGTGTGTGTGTGTGTGTGCGCGCCTGTGTGTGTGTTTCTTATGGCTTTGCTCTGTCTTAAAAATCATAGATGGAACTTGCTGGATACTGAGAGTGTGACTCAGCCCTTCCACCTCGGGAGGCAACCGGACCGGCTCTCTTTTTCTTTACCTTGGATGTGTGTGTTGTTTTCTCTTCATCAAATGCGTTTGTTAGTCAAATCCTCCCCGGAGACTTTGAGTCCGTGCCCGGGTCTTTTTGTTTTACGACAGCGTACGACCACGGCGCATTCAGCGACTTTGGAACCCGTCGGCAGCCGTAAACGCTAGCTGTGTCACTTTGAACGCCACGCTTTTTATTGTCCCTGACGACTGAACTCAAAAGGAGTTGTTGTGGTGATGTTTCTGCGAGTGTGAGGTTTTTTTTCTTCTGTTTCTGTATTTCGGTCCCAGAGAATTCGCTTTAGGGATGGATGACATTGACATTTCTCTAAGAGCTGAAATCAATCCTTTGTGTGAGTGTGTGTGTGTGTGTGTGTCCAGGTTGGGTACTGGCCTCGGCCAGGTTAATGTCATTATAGCTGGTGTACACAGAGGCCTGGCCAGTAAGTGGCATTGTTGAGTATCACCTTACGCTTACGCTGCCTCCAGCTGGCCTGCGGCTGCCAGTGCTCACTGAAATAGCCACTGTGTGTGACAGGGTGGTTGTGTGCATGTAACTGTGTGTTCACGTGTGTATTAATCCGCACAGTAGACTGTGGCAACATAACATACCTTTAGGGCCACTTGAAGGGAAACAAAGGATGAATTCCACGAGTCCAAATACATCAGAACTCTTCAGGTAATCTATTTTATAATTCAGTTAAATAAAAGTTAAAAATATATGCAAATGTTTGCTCTTGCAAAATTGTAAAAAAAACTTAATAATAGACATAATAGACAAAGAATAAAACATGCTTTAATCAGCTGTCAGTGATGCACTTCTTTACTGCCCTATTTTGCTAAATTGAATAAACTTCAACAAACCTGTTACTGTACTGTAACAATACATTCAATTCCAAATGACCTCTTTATCAGTGCAGGTGTACTGTACGGTTTCTTTTTCCTTTTTGCCTGATCTCGTCCAAAACTCGGCAAAAGTGTTGTTAGAAGTTAGCGCAAATCAACTACTTGTAGTTCACTTGTACATGAACGTCTTCTGTCTTCTACTTCTCGTCCTTCTTCTGACTTTTCTTCTTCTAGAAAGAAAACGAATCCATTTAATTTTGTGCTCACAGCTCTGAAGTCTGACGTCCACGTTGTGTTTAAAGTTCAAGTTCATTCCTGCATCTGAGGCTTGAACGATGTGTGTTGTAATGATGCCTTCTACAAACTGCTGACAGCCTTCAGTTGACTGTCGAGTGTTCACCTCTTTGGGATCGCAGCCTCAAAGTGTCAGTGTCAGTTCAGTGTTGGCCGGTGCCCAGTGGAGGAAAAGAGATTTAAAAAAACAAAGAAAAAACAATATAGAGTGAGGGCAAGATATTTAAAAAAACAAAAAACAAAGAAAAAACAATATAGAGTGTGAGCGGTGACGGACAGTCCTTTGTGAACGATGTAGAAAATGGGAGGAGACGGACAACACTGTGAGGGGGAGGAGGTTTTCCAAACAGAGACAGTAAACGGTTGTGGGTCAGCTGGAGGCAGGACCAGCCGGCGGTAGGGGAGTCGTAGCCGTGGTAATGAGCTCAATACGGTGTGGACTAAAAAAAAAAACAAAGCACAGTTTGGAGTATTACCTTAGCAACAGTGGAGAGAAGTAAAGGCCAAGACAGAGGGAGGCCAGGCGGAACACAGAGTCGGGTGTCTCTTAAATTTAAAAATATACATTCAGCAGCAATATAGGTGTGACTCCAGAGCCACTGAATGAAAAACTGTGTCTGCAGTTATAAAATGTCTTTACTGTTCATTTCTCCATTCGTCAGCAGTGTTTTTATAAATAATATTTTTAGATCTTGTCTTAGAGGGAGACCTTAAAAAATCACTGCCATGAATTGAACAAAATGAAAAAATACATACAGAGTATATTTTTGGTACATGATCACCCTACACCGTCTCAGGATCCAGGACCACGGTCCTTGAATGTTCGGACGGAGCTAAATCCAAACCTTTTGTTTCTTTAAAGTTTGGTTAAAAAACCCCCCAAAACTTTAAGTTGTATTTTAATTTATGTGGTGATTTTCTTTGAGCTCTGGTCTGAACTTCATTCCACTCCTGCTTTTTTTTTTTTTTTTCTGAAATGTGGGTAGAGCTAACTGTTGGCTCCAAAAACTACAACATGGTGGCTTTGTAATCTGCAAACTTTAGGCTTCAAACACATCAGTTTGTGGGTAATAAGAGGGTCGGGACACGCTCCAGAGAAAACTGTAGTTCTGACTGTAAATGCCTGCACACATTGATTGTTTTAACCAGATAATCCAGAATGATAAAGAAGAGAGGCAGAATTCACGACACATGTGGACCGATATGAAAGAAAAGGTTTGGTTTGAACCAGACTGTGCTGTAATGCTGCTCCAGACGGCAGCCGTCCAGGATCAAACCAGCAGGCGTGAAGCCAGACCTTAGTCAATCTTGACTAAACAAAGCAAAGACAGTTCGTTACTGCGTTTGCCACAAGAACTTTCAAGAAGACCAAAGTGGACCAACCGCATCGAAACCTTCCAGTTTTGACCCAGGTCTGCTGTTAATCTGTACTTTGGATCGTTCTACCTCTGTCCAAGACGTCCCGGTCCATTTTCCAGAACCCTAGTTTTACGCGGCGTTGGTTTTCCGTTGGTCGCTTCCCAATTACTCGCAATATTCCTTTGTCCTACACTCCTCCGAATGTTTCAACTAAAGCTGCATGGCTTTTTAAAGAAAGACCGAGAGGTCATTCTGTTGACAACATCGCATCATGTGATCAGAGGAGCATCGGAACTTCACTGTCAGGAATCTGACAACATAATCACCAAACTGTTGTTGAGCTCCACGCACTTCAAAAAGACTCAGGACTTCACTTCTTTCTCTGGGTTCTTTGTTTTCTCTCTCTCTATCTCCTTCTGTCCTTCCCTTTTTCCTCCCTTTTCTTTGGTCCTTTTGTTAGGCGGTTGCTTCCTGCGGTGAGCATGGCACTGCCCAGGCACATGTTCTGTGGTGGGCCTGATTACAGCCCTGCCGTAGTGCTGACATTGGCCTGCACCAACTCCTCATCTATAAACACAGACGCACACACATGCATGTGCACACACACCCGTGCACGCGCGCACACACACATCAACCCTCAAGTTCCACCAACTCTGCCAGCGGCTACCGTGGCATGACTTCATCCGGCAACCATTCCTTGCGTCAAACAAAATGCCTCTGTCACCAGAAAAAGGAGAAGGGCTGGGGGGGTGGGGGAGGTGGAAGGGGGGAGGGCGACGGAGGAGGAGGTGAAGAGGAAAGAGGAGAAGAGAGCAGTGGAGGACGAGGTGCGGTAGCTGAGCGGAGGCTTCAGTGTTTTCCACCAGAGTAATTTTAGCTGCTGGTCCCAGTGACATGGAGTGGCAGACAATCAGGTCTGGAGGAGAGAGCGGTGATGAGCCCAGTCTGTCACCCACCATATGAACAACAACAACAACAACAACAACAACAACAACTCTTATTTAAAGTGACTAAAATGATTTTTTAAGCTGTGAAGCTGTAACAAAACAAACTGTTTTAATTACAGGGTTATTCTGTCAACTTTGTCAGGTCACACGGTGGCAGAAATTATTATTGCTATCACAAGGTTGCTGGTTCAATCCCCCTTCCCTCTTTATGGAGTGAGACACTGGTTCTTTATTTGTGCATGTGTTGGGACTTTGGTTTAAGGTGAACCAGACACTATGGACTACAGCTCTGAGTCTATATGTGGACAGGTGAATCCAGGGTGTCCCCCACCCTCAGCCCATTGTTGATTGGATTGTTTTAAGACAAAAGATAGAAGCATTAGATGATGGATAACTTGATCTTCTTTTGTGCAATTCTTTAAGAATTAACAATTGCAGTTAAATTAAAATAAAAAACCTGTCAGTTTTGCTTATGTCTGACTCCATTCCTTGTGTTACAGGAGAGGTTGCACTATGAGACACTGAGCCAGCACCTGGGGAAGCTTGGAGAGGACGCTGGCAAAATGGTGCATCGAGTCATTGACCTGACGAGACCTGAAGATCTGGAAGGTAAGAATGTTGTCTCTGAAGAACCTGCTCCTCTTCTTTCTCTTCTTTCTCCCTTCATGTCACCTCGTGCTTCGTCACCTCTGTTTCACATCACCAACCTCCTCACACATGTCCACGATCTGACCTCAGCGTCGCCCTTATTTTCTCTTGGTGACCAAAAATGTCAGTGCTTCGTTGGAGTTCGAGGCAGTTGTTGGAGAGCTTGTACACGCAGGTATTCAGCAAACACAAATATTTATTGTGTTCTCCAGGAAGCACAGAAGGACAGGAAGGTGAAGGAGCCCTGAGCAGATAAACAACATGCTCAGAGTCAACAACTCACACCCTTGGTCTTACACTGTTTTGTGGCACGAGTACACACACGGTCCATGAGACTGTCCTAACAGGGACACTGTCTGTCCACCCACCTGTTTCTCATAAAAACCCAGTGTTTACAGGTGACGAAGGGATGAGTAAGTGTCTTTAGTACTTTGGTTTAGACTGGGCCGAGTAAATATGGAAACCGACTCAGAGATAGAGAACCGCGTCAGACTTTTGTTACACATCCTCCCACTGCACGCAGGGCTGCACGTCTCATCTGTGCTGCCCTTAAATGTCAAGAAGAGAATACGGTAAAAGATGAAAAAAAAACGACCCTTTCTTTGATTCACAGGGAACAACATCGCAGAGGCGCGAGTGTTCAGGGAGGCACGAGGCAGGAACAACAACGAGCCCCACATCAAGAGGCCCATGAACGCCTTCATGGTCTGGGCCAAAGACGAGAGGAGGAAGATCCTGCAGACGTTTCCTGACATGCACAACTCCAACATCAGCAAGATTCTGGGTGAGAATTCAGTTGAGAGTTCAGTTGACAGAGGGTCTCTTTTTGAAGTAATACTTCAACGTAAACGATAAAAGATATTTTGGCCCAAAATTCCAATAAACTTGATGTGTGTGTTAATGGGTTGGACTAAAGGGGGGCTGATTTTTTTTTTCTTTTTTTTGTAGTTATTTTATTGGCTTACGTTACAATTTTAATCTCTCCAGCAAAAAAATACTGTTACTACTACATTTAAATACCTGATTTTTAATTATGGAAGGACAATTTTGCCTAATTGACTCATAATTAAAATAAAAGAAACCGTAGTTACAGCTCCAACTGATGTGAATAATTTTGAATAGCTGCACATATTTTCTTCATATTCGTTTTATTATTGTAGTTAGCATCAGTCTCAGGACACATGAAATCTACTGGTTTATTACTAATAGCTTGGAAAATAGCATAAAGTGAGTTGAAACATTCACCTCCACCCTCCTCCTGTGTTCAGGTCTTTTTTCCTGCTGCCTATAATAATATAATACTTAATAATACTTCAATATTTCACCAGATTTTTCTCCCATTGTGTTTTTTTTTAAATGAAACAACCACTTTAGCAGATCGTACCTTCCCATCCTGACATTATCTCCCTCCATCTTGACAGTTGACACTCCATGTCAGTATTTCCATGTCAGTGATTCTCCTCGTTAGATCACGCCGCCACAGTTTTCTTCACTTCACACGCCCTTCCTCGCTGATACTCTGCAGATTATAATGAGAACCAGTGTTTTTCAAACCTGGAACGTTCCGCACACACAGCTCCACTGTGTCTCAGCCTGACGGCTGTGATGGATGCATTCAGGTTTTTTTAAAGCAGCCATGTTGATACTGACCTCCTTGACACAGATAGCCATTCACACCTCGCCGAGCATAACGGCTACTCATGAAACGTTCCTAAGTCAACGCTGGGCTCTAGTCAGCCTGAGGTTCGCTGAATGTAAATGTTCCTCCTGAGCGACGTGAACAAAGGGCCGCTTCTTACGTGAGTCTCTCACTGACTATAAAGGCAGGGTTAGTAGGAAAGAAATAAATCATTAAATACATTTAGGTACAATTTTCCTAACGTTATTTTCTTAATTAAGATCTCGCTATTAAAATATTTAATATTGGTTAATGACATTGTGGTCCATTGATTGTTAATATTAAATCATAATAATGATGATAATAATGATAATAATGATGATGATGATGATATTTACTACCTGAGTTTAAACCCCCAAACACAATTGAGTTAAATGTATGTAAAAACAATAACTATAAAAGTAATTTCTGTCAAATTAATAGTTAACAGTCCAAGAACCATATTATTATTATTAAAATGTATATATATTTCTTCAAAAGTAAGGTTTGCAGTCAGATGCAAACTGCATGTTCTCGACCCCCCTGCCCCCCCACACCTCTGATAAACCAAGCACAACAATTTTCCAGATATGGAAGCAGAGTTAACCGTTGTGTACTCGTGCAGCTACATGTGTACAATGCATGTCTGTCTACACACTAACACAGCTGGATTTTAGGGAGTGGGTGGCCTTGGAAAAAAAAAAACTCCTCTCTGTTTCCTGTGTCACAAAACTACACAAGTAGTTTGTGATAAACCTTGATAAACAAAGGGTGAGGCGATGTCTATCATCAGTCGTCGGAGTGCTGCACAGATGTGTCCTACATTCCGGCGCTAACGACCCCCTACACTTGTTCAGAAGGTCCTCACACCAAAGGAAATAATACGTACACACGCTGCGTCCTTCTCAGATAAGAGGATGAGACTGAAACCTGATTGAGCGTCTTTGTTTTGTCCAGAACATTCTTCTTTTAAGGGCAAACTAATAAGGATCCACATGAATAAAGATTCGTACAGATGTCATCAAAATAATGTGCAGCTGAAATTACAATATTTACCTTGAGCTATAAGCAGCGCTCGCTCTGTCTTGGGTCATGGTCCAGGTTTTACACTTATTTTTTTAAATTGACATAACAGTTTAAGGGCTTTTTCAGAGTATTGAAGCAGCGAAACTATGATTAGTCACAAAGAAGAGAGAAAAGTTTATGAGAAGCTGTCATTGAAATCATAACCTGGAGCAATTCTCTGTCATTTAATTCTCAGATGCATTCAGTATCAATGAACTGGTCTTGAACTTTAATATTATGCTCCCAAATTATCTTTCAATACATTTTTTAATCTTTACCACCTTATGATGAATGTTAGGAAATAAAAAAAAACCTAAAATACCACTTAAATATTTGGAATCTAAAACATCTAGTCCAAACTCCATAAGAGCTCTCAGTATTGTTACTGTGTTGCATTTGTGGACAGTCCCTAACTATTGTCAGATCAATATTCTCATCTGTTTTAGCCTCCTTGCTGCATTAGCTCAGACGTAGAGGTACAAGGCTGTACAAATGTAAACCAGAAACTGTAACAAAACTCAAATTTTTATCGTTTTTTTTTTTGCTTCAGGCTCCCGTTGGAAAGCCATGACCAACCAGGAGAAACAGCCATACTACGAGGAGCAGGCCCGCTTAAGCAAGATCCACCTGGAGAAATACCCCAACTACAAGTACAAGCCTCGGCCGAAGAGAACCTGCATCATCGATGGAAAGAAGCTGCGCATAGGCGAGTACAAGCAGTTGATGAGGTCACGGCGTCAGGAGATGAGGCAGTTTTTTGTAGGGTGAGTACCACAGGGAGTACAGGTCCACGCCTTTGCATTTTATATTAGCCTTAATATAAGTAAGAGAAAACCTCCCATAACTCCAGTACAGTCGGTAACGGTTCAGTGGCAGAAGAAATATAACCTGGATGAATGAGAGTGCGCGCAGACGTCCTAATAATCTTTTAGCTGAAGGTGCATTTCTGTGAGGTTTTGGAGTGGCGATCAGGGTTTATGGAGCCTTTATGAAAGGTTTTCATCTCAGAGTCTTTGTGGTCGTATCTGCAAAACCCTTTAAACGCTCGCTGAAGAGCTTTACTTTTTTTTTCGCAGTGTAGAGAACGCAGAGAGGGGAATAACAGTGGCATTGTCTTAATGGGAACCAGCCATGAATGTGTTTAAAACCATCACAGTGGCCTGTGTTCGAGATGGATTTACCAGAGGCCATGGCTTTGAATAGGAGCGATTTTTAATAGCTTGTCATTTATTAAATTAAGACAATGCCGGGCGCTTGCGGGCAGTGAAATTGGACACAGACAGACATCGTGGAATATGAAATGTAAGCAGATGTTTGAGAGGGAACAAGATTGAAGCAGACGTCACAGGCTGAATACCACGTTTACTGTGTGTGGTCAAGCAAATGCTACGTGAAAAGGAAAAAAAAAAACTCGTGATTTTTCAGGACTGGATTTTCAATCTGAAGTTAAATCAAACAGCTTCTCTCAGACGGTATTCAATCTGTGTCTGGCAACCCTGGTGTTGTTGTGAAGTGTGTGTGAGTTTATTGTGCAAATGAGTCTGTCCGGGCACAGCAGTAATTGTTTCTGGAAACAGAGAGGAGGGAGAAGTGTTAGGTGAGACAAGTGACAGCAATTTTCATTCTTTATGTGTCTCATTTGAGGAGCCATGGGCTTCCATTTGACTGCTGTACATTGACTCCCATTCCATCTGTATCCTAACAGGTTATTTAGCTGCTGCGGCCGCTGCAGTCGTGTTCACACATGCCTGTGACCAGATGAGAAAAGAAGTCACTGTTAACTCCAGCAGCTTTGGAATTAATATCTGCTTCAAACGCGTTTGCTTCAAAGCTTTAAGTGAATCATGAATCACAATCCGATCCTTCAATAGCCGTCAGCCTCGTCGTGTCGTTGCCAATTGATTTGTCAACTCTCCTACGACGCTTGGTGTTTCATTTCTCTCTGATTGTCTTTTTTATGCTTTTTTTTTTTCAATTTTGGTCGAACAACTGTGATGTGGAGATTCAGACATGACATGTCGTGTTGTTTCTAAAAATATCAATCTGTTTAATGTTGGATTTATGTCGGTCGTGTTGTTTGATTAGAATCTTGACGCAATAATAATAAAAGTTTCATCAGAAGTGGAATCAGGAATTAAAATCCAAAATGGGTTTTTACTGCACAGTACAGTTACACAAAACAAGGAATTTTAATTAATAATAAAAAAATTAGATGGGACAATTATCATTAATCAAATGTTTTAAATAAGGTTAACCCTTTTTTCATAACCTTTTACTGACTGATAGTTTTTAAATATGAGCAAACGCTTAATTTATTTATTTGCAGAGTACAGTATTTCCTAGAAACAAAGTTACTCCATGGAGAGGCTGCACCCAGTTGTTAATTTCAATATATATATATATATATGTGTATATATATAATTTTTTCATGTCTTTTATTTGCCTTATTTTTTCTTCTTTACCTTTAAATGGTTCCAATTTGAATGACTTACATCATGTTTTTGCCCCTCAGGCCTCAGCCACCAATCCCTCTGGGCAACAGCCCAGGTGGAGTAGGAGTTTACCCCGGTGCCATCACCATGGCCACCGGAGCCACACCGTCCCCTCACCTGACCTCAGACTGCTCCAGCAACTCAGCCAGCCCCGAACCCAACATCCCCGTCATCCAGAGCACGTACGGCATCAAGTCCGAGCCCGGCGGCGGGGGCAGCAACGGCGGTGGGGTCGGAGCTCTGGACCTGGCCGGCGATCCCACCAACGGAGACGACGACATGGACATGTACGAAGACTTTGACGACGAACCCAAATCAGACTATAGCAGTGACAATGAGACACAGGAGGCCGTCAGTGCCAACTGAGCGCGCTCGGCGGTGACCGCGAGAGAACAACAAGCGAGAACTCCTGTTGTGCTCAGAGACACTTTTTAAAAAAAGATAGTTTATCACAGAGACCTTCAGGCTGGACTGAGCATGCCCAGACTGGATCAGAACTGGTGACTGTGGACGGCGTTTTGATGGATGTCTATTTGAAGGAAGAGAGAGGGCTGATGGGAAGAACGTGACCTGCGAAGACGACGTGAGCATACACAGCTGGACGTCCAGCTGACGATGAACTCCACTTTCCTTCCCTTTGCCGATCTTCACAGGAGTGAAAAAGAGTCAGAGGAGAGGACGAGCGAGAGTGAGAGAAGGCAGAACAAACGAGTGACAAACACAGAGCTGTGTGGTTTGGAAAGAGCATGCATGGATTTCAAACCAAGGGGAATTGGTCTTAAATGTTTAAGGAGTGAGTTCAATTTTTTCATCATTATGTAATTACATTTTTGAATTTTTTTTTCCCCTTTTTGTTTATTGTTCTATAGACTTTCTTCAGACAGGTCACTGACCTGTACAAACTGTCGGAACTTGAAATTTGAGAAAAAAAAAAGTTTAATATAAATCCTAGCTCTTGTAATCTTATAGTCTTACTTTTGTTTCTTACAAATACAGCGCATCTACACTTTTCTTTTTGACAAACTGCTTACATGACATTACTGTTAGATCTTTTTTTTTAAATACCCCAGCTCAGGTATGATGTGCCAGCTTGTGAATGTGTTTTTGTTTTTTGTTATTTTATCTGTTTTCATACGAAACGAGCGGTAGGACTTTAATAGACTGTCAATGAAATACAAGGGAGCAAAATCCCTTATTATTATTATTATTATTATTATATTATTAGGTACCCTGTCATTGTACAGATTTACATCAAATGTGCCAAACATTCACTTGGGATGTCGTAGTCTTAACTTCCGATGCTGCAAAAAAGTCTTATACAATCGGCTCCCCTCCTGGTCCAGTCTCAGCCAGAGCTCAGGGACGATACACCACACTCGCTCTCTCTCTCTCTTTCTCTCTCTCTCTCTCTCTCTCTCTCTCACGCACACGCACATACATGAACACACACACACAAATACACTCAAACACACACACACTACAGATTTCGTGTGGCAGACTATTCTTCTATTCCACTTCACTGGTGCTGTATTTTGTCCAAGATTATACCCTGAGGTTCAGTATTTCTCAGTGTTGATCCCTAACACTTTTTTATTTGTCTGTGGAGCTGGTCCAATTGCAAAAAAAGAAAACAAACAAACAAACAAAAAAAAAACAAAACATAAAGTTATGCTACGTAATTTTAAAGCTATTTTTTGAGTCAACACATGATCAATCCTTAAAGTCACAGGAGCTGCAGCCCTGTTTATTCAGCATCATAACACAAGGAAAATAACCTGGAAGGAAGATGAGGAGGAGGAGGAGGAGATGGGTGAGGAAGGTGTTATACTGTAGAATAAAAGATCTGAATATTTTTGATCCCGTCACTGTTTCGAATTGTATTTTTTATCGGTACAAAAAGTGCAAAAATGTTCATATATTTATCGCCTTGTTTTTTTTTAAATGTCTTCTCAACATCCAAACACTCACCAAACTAGGGTTTTAAATGATTAAGAACCCAAAAATTATTTATATAGTTGGGTATCATTATTTCAAGAAGGGTACGTTTTTTTCTAGTTTGCATGTATATCTTAAAGACAAGGTAAATATTAAGAAAATAAATGGAGGAAAAAAAGTGCATAAATGTGGCTGTGCTTTCTTTTTACCACCACTGTGGTCAGAGCACAGACGTGAGTGTTTCCACAGCGAGCAGTGGGATGTTGTTCTTTGGTCCTGGTTTGACCCAGATGTTATTGGTCGGCACCACTCAGCTGGGTTTGAACACTTTTTTTCATCTATTTTACTCATATGTAATTTTTTTTCTCTAGTTTTTTCTTTTTCTCCACACTGCAATTCTGACGTTTCCATTTTCAACACCTGTGACCTCAGTTGCTCTGCTGAATGCTCTGTTATTTTTTCTTTTTTCTTATGACCATATCTGGCAGTTTTTAAAAGCGTCACAAGCTGGGACTTAACATTAGTTTTTTGCTTGCATTATGAGGAGGAAGAGCCTCGTACATAGACATTTCTGTTGGTGTCATACACATCCTAAGCACTGGATCTGAATTGTATGTTTCTTATTTTTCTTCCTTTTTGTAGTTTTGACTAATGTGAAGTTGTTTTCATTTTCATCATGTCAATTAGAACACTCTAAAGTCACATGTTTGGACTCGTACATGTCGGGTGGCAGCAGTCAGTTACAATTTTCTTTAGAAGCATTTCAATTTTGTTGCCTAAAAGTTGGTGGCATCACCTCTGATCTCTATTTTTTTTTTTTTTTAAGATAACCTCATGCGATTGTTAGCTGTGGCCTGCAGGAGCAGAACACAGCTTTTATGGTCACACACATTTTTTTTTTTTGATGAGTATTGTATTTGAAATTCAATTGTGCATTTTAACATTTCATTGTATTTATTAGCCAGCTTTGGCTCTAAAAGTGTCAGTACAACATGGTGAGAAAGACAATCAAAAAAATAATAAATAATAATAAAAAAAATTGTACTCGACATTTTCCTTCTGCACATCTGTCATCTCCAATGTTTCTGTGGTCATCGCCTTCATCCACTTGCAGGAAAACACATTATAATTTTGATGTTTTTGGTGCGTAAAGACGGTGCCCAGTACAACTCAGGTTGTAATACACAACTTTTATTTCCATTACTGATGATTATAATTACACTTTCCAGGCATTTAATAATTTCCAGGCTTTTGTTTCCAAATTTCCACTCGGTCTGCAGATTTCGGTGGCTTCTTACAGTAAATGTGGCCTATTGTTCTGTGTGTGTGTGTGTGTGTGTGAGGTAACTCCGCACATTATGACTGCAGTGTGGCGTACACGCCATGGCGCCGTTACTGGCTGCAGCCAATCGCTGCATTTTCAGAGGGAGAAAGCGAGAGCTCAGCCATATGCAGCCACATCATAAATCTAATTGTAATTCCCAACTCAACTATAGCGTCACCAGTGAGGGGCGCCGTCAAGTTTGTCACACACTCCTTTGTGTGTGTGTGTATCTGTCACTTGGGAGGGGTGTTTGAAATCATACTTGTGCTGTTGCCATGCTAATCTCGTTAAATAAGTCTTCATAATTTACATTTCCTTTTTTTTCCTCGCTGCACGATGAACATTTAGCTGTTAGCCAGTTGACAGATTGGTTTTTGTGCCGGCCTGATTGTGCCAGTGCTGGCGTAGCTTTCAGCACCTTTACAAAGGATGGTCTGCTTCATTACAGTGTAGCCATGATTTCATAGCTCAACGCATTCATTCACATATATACAACATGTAGTGTATACAGTAAAAGCTAATTTATCCCCCAAAGGAGACTGACGCCATCCGGCAGTTTCCATTCACTTCAGCCTCTTGTTGAGGCTACTGGTAGCCAGATGTAGAGATTAGCCAGAAGATTTTTTTTGTAAAATTAGTTATAGCAGTTATTAGCCGTTATATAATTTAAATAAATTAAAGTTTCCAGTGCTCACAGAGTATTAAGACAATAGCATGAGTCCAGCAGAGCTCAGACAGAAGAAGTCTAATCTGGTGAATTCCACCTATTTTGGTCAATTATATTTACATACATTTACATTTATATCCTACGTCAACTCTCAGGCTTTTCCAACAGTTTTAATAAAATAAATTATATATATATATATATATTTGTCAGGACTTTTTATTTGATTAGGCTTTCTAACTGAAATGTCTAAAATGTACACAATGAAATGAAAGCTATAGCTCAATTCTAACCATAACACTAATGGAAATCCATTAAATTAATTGATTATTTGCAACAGCTTTTGAGCTAGCTGCTTCCAAATATGTGATGTACATAAAGAAAAATATTGTTTTTATTAAGAAATAATGTTCTCACTTATACACAGAGCAGTTTAGATATGAATTGTTTTACAATCATGTTATCATGCTAATTAACCTTATTAAATGACAGAGAAATTGATATACTCTTAGAAGCTATTACTTAAGCTTTGATTCTACTTTTTTTTCTCTGCGTCTGAGGATGATGAAGCATAATGACAAGCTTTCTTCATAAAAGCCCAGATGTGGACAGACCTCGAAGGCAAATTCACTTTTTGATTTTTAAGAAAACATCTTAAAGAGTAGACAGAGTAAAATCTTTTCTTTTTTGCCCCCACAGCACCCATCAGACTTTTTGATCAGGAGGATTATAATTTGGTATTACAAAGGAGGAGCCCACTTCAAATGTGTCGGAGCGTCTTTCTACGAGGCATCAAAGCCACAGTCTTTCTGATCCTGGAGACTCCTCTGCTCATTAAAGCTCAGACTGGTCAGGGTGTTGCAGCATGCTGCCACGCTCATTGAGAATTAATAGGCTGTGATTCGTAATCATTAAAAAGGGGGAATAATTGACCCGTGTCTGTCATGTTGATGCTGTTTCACTAAAAGTGGAGTCTTAGGGATTTCACAGGTTAAGTATAAACGCCTGGATTTAATGCATTTCAGTGTTGCACAAGTTTGAACATGTGGAGTCAAAAAAAAAAAAGTCAATGGAAAAGTTTAATTGGGTCTGCTGAGGTCAGGAGTGTTTCTCATCTGAAATGAATAGAAATTGTAGTGGTTTTGTTTTAATTGAGGTTCCCTTCTGTTCTTCTGGCAGACCTGATCCATTAACATTCAACACACATCTGATTCAACTGTAGCCACATCACTAGATGGTCTTCACCGGAAAATGGCTGCAGGGATGCAGATATGAGTGATAGTACGTCACTATTTCTCGTACACGCATACACTGGGATTATGAAAGTGATTACAAGCCGTCCTGAGGAAAAAGTACATGAAAAATATTTATTGAGAAAAGGAGAAGGAAAAAAATGTCTCCTTTGTTATCTGTCCAATAGATGCTTACAAATTTCAATCAACACCACAGATGCTAGCTGCATGCTAGGAGCACAAAGGTCAGGTTAACATGAAGGACAGTCCTGGATGAATAGATAGATAGATAGATAGATAGATAGATAGATAGATAGATAGATAGATAGATAGATAGATAGACAGAAACGACAATGAAAAATATTTGTTTTAATGAAGACAGCCTTACATCAGCCATTTTGTCAATGCCTTATTGTTGCACAGTTTAGCTACTAAAACGTTTTTATAACTGTTAATTGTGGGTGATATTTATTAAAATCTATAGGGTCGTCAATGTTGAGAGGCCATGGAAAATTACTAAAATGGTAAAGAGAACACTAATAAAAGGAAATTATACAAAGAGCCGATTGAATGGAGCTGCTTCGGGTCTGTCTGTGTTTCTGTCTTTGAAACAGAGCATAAGGGACTATACTTTATACGTTTTTTTTAACGCAGCTTGAAATGAAAAGGAAGTCTGCAGCTCTCACTCAGGAAAATAGGCAACGGACAAAAGGCCAATCTTTTTCTTTCTGAGAAAAAGGCCTTGTCGTTGTAAGTGCATTAGTTGCTAATTAAATATTATATGTTTAACAAAAAAAATGCCTGTTTGAAAGCAGTTGGATTGTTTGACTAGAAGACATGGCTGTAGCCTTGATGAGTGGAACTGCACACGGCCATGAAGAAATAAAAAAAAAAAAAAAACGCCACTGTCGGCAGTGCCCCTCTTGTTTGACCTGTCGTCGTCCTTTCTATACAGATTTTACAATCACATTCCTCTTTGTGCTTTTCTCACAGACAAAGGCATTAGAGACAGTGGAGAAACTGAGGAGTAAACATTGTTCCAACATTTCTAAGCATGCTACATTCATTTTACACAGTCTAATGCTTTTGTTTAGGTGACGAGACATAAAACCATGGTACAACACTTTAATCAGGTTAAAATTGAAATACCAGGTTACAGATAAACCCAACAACCTTGCAGGAATATTGCCTCAACCATTTGAACTTAGATAATACCGATAAAGATTTTTTTATAATTAAACCATCACTTGATGCTTTGGCTTCAGGAGCAGAAGTACTTTGTCAACTTCTTTTTACAGTGTCAAGGCTTTAAACTTCTCAACATTTGTTGCCACTGTTTAACAATACATGAAGGAGTTATTGTTGAAATCAGTGGAATTGCTTTAGTGGCAATGAATGTGTGACATTGTGCAAAGTAAAGGTGTGAAAGCTGTAATGGGGGGGGGGGGGGGGGGGGGGGGGGATGAATAAAATGCAGCACTTTGTTCCAGTGTTCAGTCATTTCTTCATACATATCTATTCTAACAAATTCCTCCGTCTTTCTAAATATTTGTTTTAGGTGGAACTGACTATTAATTAAATTTAAAATGTTTACAGGTAAACTGTTTTGTTTAAATATAAAACTCTTAACGCTTGACGCTGTAAAGTCATAGTTACAACATTGACATCTGCTACAGTACTGCGTAGGGTAGATCAGCGATCTGCCTGTTAAGTCTTGATTCTTGCTCGATTAGTTATGGCTGAACAGGCCGGAAGGGGGAGCTCTCGGCTTAACGCGTCACAATGATTACAGGTAAGATAACATATATTTTAACATTCTCATTGAGAAAGATTTAAAGCTCTGTGGTTGAATGATATTAGTATTTTTTGTGGCGCACGTATTAACTGTGCTTCAATCGCTGCTTAGCCTCTTTTACGCTGAAGATGTTTATGCCTGTGACACACGCAAAAGACTTTTCAGTATAAGTGTATAAGATTCAGTAGAGTTTTTGTCCCAACTTCAGTGGTGTTTGCTAATGTCTCTTGTTCATTATTGGACTGAGAGACCACATTTGTTTTGGATACATGACACTGGATTAGGGTAAAAGTTCTTCTCAAAGGAGAGTATAAGACCACCATAAGGGGGCGCAAAGATATTTTTATTTCAACATTTGTGCTACAGTGGGAAGATTACACAGATTGGTAATTAGTTTCAACAGGGACCACGGGTTTGTCCAATTTTGTTGTCCTGTTGTTGTTGTTGTTAACAAGTTTAAGTTATTAGAAACCGACACATTTTTAAATCATAACAACTGACTTACTATTTCAAAACCAAATAAACACACAGCAGAAGAGTGTCTATTGCTCTATACTTAGAACAGCAGAAAGAAAGAAAACTGAAATGTTGTCTTCTCTTCTGTCAGAAGTTTTTTCAAGGTTGTAAATAATTGTTATGATCACACTCAGTTGGTGTGGCTTCGTGTGACCCGGCCATGTGGGGACAATTAATGCGTTTCTGGCATAAGCTTGTTCTCATTAACCAAAATAGTTCTTTTGACTGTGGTAAAACAAGTATTTAAAAAATCACAATCATAGCAAAACACATTATCACATGCAACACTGTGGAACAAACAATGAGGAGCCAGTCAGGACCTCAGAATTGTTCTAACTAGAATTGTTCCACTAGACAGGAACAATGTCAGTGAAGGTGAATGTTTGTCCTTATATGTAGTTGGGTTGTGGTGGTGTGGTGTGGTGTAGTTTCTAGATCATTGTCAGTCCAAAATATTCCTCCTTCTTTTCAAAGTAGTAGCTCAGTCTGGCCAAGGCGTATCTGGGAAGTGAGGAAGAAAAAGAAGAACATGGTTAGAATCGAAGACAGGTTGTCACGCAGAAATATAAGCCAGTGACATTTTGTTTAAATATGTTTTTTTTTATTGTATGGTGGTTTTTATTACAATCTGATAAATTATCATACAAATTATCATTATCAAATTCAAATTTGATTCATTCTTGTTTTAAATCTCTTTCAGTTGATGGCAATAAAAAATTCCCAGATAAGTTAAATATGTTTTATCCTGGATCTACATCCACTCTCACCTGTTACTAAATGGCAGAAAACGATGGGATTTTTCTGCAATTAACATTTTGTCTAATTAATAGGATAGCCTTTTTTCATTAATGGAATGGAATGCAACTCCAGATTTCTGAATTATATCATTATCATTGTATATCATTATATTACATCCAAAATGCAGATATTCTATCTTATAATAAATATAAAATGTATTTATATTATATATACATCAATATGACACATACTGTATACAGGTAGATTTTTGTAAAAATATCTATTCAAATGACTGATTTAAAAATGTTTAAATGGAGTACTTTGACATTGTATTAGTTGTTCTGAAAATGTACAAAACTGGTTAATTATTCCATATCATATTTAATATAATGTCTCTAACCGTAAGCTTAAGGAAAATGTTAGCAAATGTATTTACTTTCTTTTAGATTTAATCACATTTAGTAGAAATAAAACTCTTGCTTAGTGTTTTTTATATCTTGAATATGAAATAATTGCTTAAAATAAGTGTTCAAAACAGCCACTGGTGTTTATTCCTGCACGCAGTTGTCTCGCCTTGAAATAAAACCCTGTGCACGAGAGCTGCGCCACATTTTAGGGCTGATCTGGGACAAAAGTGATTTTTGTGTGTTTCTCTCTACCATATTATCAATCCTTCAATAAATCTGATGTGTGAGTGTACTGCTGCCCTTGGCCATTATACTTCACCCTTTGAAATGAAGTGAACTTTGAAAAAGCTTTAAAAACCCAGACAAGGTGGGGAGTTTGTCCTTTAATCAGTGCTTTCAATGAACTCCTCAATTCAGAATTGCTTTTTCTCTCACTTATGGCTCAGTGAGACAAAAATATGATTCAGAGACGTACCTTTTACTTACTTATATTCCACCGCCTGTACCTCTGTGTAAAACTACTCTCTAATTATTGTGGTTGACTCGGCCTTCTGTTGTCTGCTCTTTGCAATGTTTCTTGGGAGTTCTATTTTCTTGCACTTAATGTACTTTACTTATTGTAGGTCATTTGTTACAGAATACACTCGCGCAGTGTGCTGATGGTTTAGTTCAAGTCTCACTCCAGCAGAGTCCTGGACTTTTTTTTTTTTAATAAAACTGATGTTAAGGAAAATTTTGGGGGAAAAGAAATCCCTGATGGCAGCCTAGCAGAACTAGCATGCAATTTTCACTTCTCTCATTGTGGTTTGGCAAAGCCACACAGAAGCTTTCTTTGGACGAACGTAGTTTCAAGTAAACCATGTGTTTCGGAGGATGATTGACAGTTCACACATTTACTTAGATAATTGAACAGAACGTTTCGCCTTCCGACTGGACAAAAAGAATCACCTGTTTTTGAACGTTTTCAGCTGACTCCTCTGATTGAGTGTCCGCTAATTATAAGTCACTATAATAGTAAAATAAACTGAATAAAACATGTCTTTTAAAGACGTCAATACAAGTTTGTCCCCCGCTGTCAGTCTTCATAAAGATTTAACTTTATCCTTACTGCTTTATCCTTACTGCTGCAACAATTAATCAAGTAAATGTTGATTAATTTATTTTTAAAATCGTTTGGCTTTTATTATTTTGACTAGGCTTACCTAAGAAATCCAAACTTATTCTCTAATTTCAGCTTTCATGTAACACCGCACAACGTAAAATGCAAGCAGGCAGATGCACACTTTTATTTGAACATGTGCAGAATGGTATTCATTAAACAAAAGAAATGTGACGTATGAAAATTTAATAATTTTTTTTAGAAAGAATAATTTTCAGCTGGTTCCTTCACCTAAAATTTAAAATCCAACAATTCATTCAAAACTGTTTTAATGCCCCTCCTTAATTTAATTTCCACATTTGTCTAGGTTTAGAATTGACAGACAGTTTTAAAATGAAGTGCGTTGGTCAGGGTCACAAAGCTGATTACAAACTTTGACTTTCTAAGTGGAAGGTGACCTTCTGTAATTTAATAACAGTATTTCCTATTCTGTTCCTAATCTGGCTCCCATTGTCAGTGTCATCAAATAGAGAATTTATTTTCACGGGCTGTGACTGATTTTTAATTTTCAGTCACTGGTGATAATTACAGAAAAAATAATTGATTTGTCTAAAGTGTGAAAATGATGGATTAATGTGAGGTAGCATATGGAAAGTACTGTCTTACTTTAACTATGTTTTGCCTATTAATTGGTACTTGTTTAAAATCTGTACCACAAAAATACCAATAATAATATTTGACCCAAAGCAGTGATTAAGGTTAAGGTTTTACTTTTAGGTTTGACTCCAACATCCCCTCTCAGCCATAACAGGTTAAAACTGTTGACAATGAATGAGCAAGTTAAAGTGTCAGCACATTTATTTCAAACTTTAAAAGTAAGAGTTATTTAATAACCGCTCCATTCACCAGTTACATTGTAACTGAGTTTAAAGTGACAGTTTGAAGGGAGCTTCATAGACGATCACTTTATCCCTACTTTTATTAAAGACGACACCTCAAACTTACTCGCTTCACATTTATCATCATTTGAGATGAAACTGAGATGTTTTTCTATTTAGCAGGAGCGGGGGAAAATGAACTCCCCTCCAAAGCAGGTATTCCATTTCATAATGTGCTTTTGTGCACAATTCCCCCAATTTTGCAGCCAGGCTATTCCAAACAGTGGGCCTCCTCCTCCTCCTTCATTTCCTCATAATAATGTCTTTGTCAAATGACGGCTCTCCTTGCCAACACGTCCACAAATCTAAACCACTGACTCGCAGACACTTTCAACACATGAATAAAATCATATAAGAAGAAAAGTAAATACGGACGGCGGAGGGAGGGCGGGTTAGCATTCCCCTTGTGGCTCCCTATTGTCACATCTACATCTGGCCCTGGTTAAAGCACAAGGCCTGGGCGACGCCTGTCACTTGTTGGGAAGTCGGCGTAGATTTGGCTCAGGGGGATAACAGTGGGAGGAAAACCACACACACACACACACACACACACACACACACACACACAGGGTTTAACTCAAGCTAATTATCTCTTTCCTCAATAGAATTTGTTTGTCACAAAAGCATTAGACAGCAGTGATGTGTGTTTTCTCTCTCACGATAAGGAAAATAAAAATACAGCAATAAAGTAGGCAAAAACATGCAGTACATACGTACATAGATGTGACTATTGTACTGCATGATTTGTACTGCACTACAAGATACTTTCCTAATTTTAACACATTTATTTAGTTCATAACTATTGACTTTGTATGAAATTAGCAGTGCTTGAGGTCAACAGTATTTTCAGTTTGACACCACAGAGCAGGTGAATCAACCAAAACGGTGAAGTTTGTGTAAATTCGTAGCCTATTGGTCAGTTAATGGATCCATTTATTTTAATTTATGATATTGATTTCAGGATTAATACTAATTAGGAGAAGTTATGATATGTTACAATGAAAAAATGTGTAGCACTGAATATTGTGTAATTCATAGACTTTGAAGATCAGACATTTCAACATAGACATCATGTTGTATCCAGGTAGACTTAGTAGTAAAATTAGACCGACAACTTTGGAAAGTCTTCAGTCGATTGTACTGGAGTTCAACCTCATTGAACCAAGAAATTGAAGTAAGTTAAGCAATTTAGGCCGTTGTGTTTGGTGTGTTAGTCAGCCTGATCGGAGAATCATCATTTGCACAGGGTCTTTGGTTTTGTCATTTTATTTACTAGTGATCATGCATCCCAAGGACAAAACCTCACCAGAGTGGAGTCGCTGTTTGTTTGAATAACATAAAGCATGTGATTATGAGGGGGTATTTTGCAGGGCAACCTTCAGACTCCAGGCCTGGTCTGGTTCCTCATCGTTACTCAGTGCTGATTTGACTTTAACCCTCCAGTTAAAGGAGCGTAACCTGACTCTCTGTATGCACTTTAGGACAACCTCATCCAGCAGCTTAAAGAAGCAGACGTCTAGAAGGCGTATGTAGCCCGGCCAGGGATGAGAGACGTATATGTAAGGGAGCTACGACGGCACAGGAACAATAGCGCCTCTGTGCCTCGGCACCCCTCTGGATCACATTTCCTCCGGGGTCCAGATTGAAATGAGGTAGGGGCCCTGTCGCTGATCTAGCAAGTAGGCAGAGAAAGCCACACAGAGGGGAGGGTGCTGTATGTCAATAGTGATTAGGATCACGATCACAACTGTGGCGGGTGCAGGGCATGCAGTAACGATGGGGGGGAGGGGTGGGGGAGAAACTTTTGGCCTTCTGAACTTTATTGTCTGGTTGCGTTTGGAAGTCAGGAATGTCTCCTGTGTCCATGTGTTTTAAGATAATACTCTTCGTAATAAAGGAAATTAATTTTGGAGAGACGTCAGCCTTTCATCTTGTTCATCCTGTGTGGTTCAAGAGTGAGGAAAAGCAGAGAATTTCATGTGTAAATATTGTGTCTGCATTTAGTAGTACTTTTACTGCTTGTTCGATGCCAAATTTCGGATACACAAAGTCTCGACGCACGACCAGGGGGAAAAAATGAAACGTTTCCACAGTCTGAGCTCAGGTTCCCAGTCTTCTGTTGCAGTTTCTCTGCCATCTAATCCCCCAATAATTCTAATGATAATGGTTTTTGTCCAAACCTTCTAATAAAAACCGGTAGGTCAACCACAACAACTTCAACAATCTGTCTTACATTTGCAACAAGGTGGTCCAGTGAGGTAGAACAGTGAGGTGGACATTTTCATTGTGCTTTCACTGTTTCTCTATGAAAACATTATGGGGGGTGGTAGGTAATGTCAGAAGGATGGTAATCTGTGTTTTAATAATTTGTTGCTGTTTATTTTGTGCAGTAATCAAAAGTAAACAAAGTATTTAAACACCCATCGAGCACAAGTATAAGTACAAACCTTTGGAAGTCAAAGTCAATAGAGGAGTAGTGGGACTGCAGGATGGCCCAGAGTCCCCAGAACAGGTTGGAGGCCTGAGGATGACCATTAAAAACCAAGTTAATTAGTTGCCTGTTAAAAAGTAATAGCTGAAGAGGCATGTGTGAGTCTGGTGTAAGAAAGAAAGACAACAACACAACATAATTTACATGTAATGCGTTATTTCAGAAATAAACATGTTCATAATCTACATTGTATGATTATTAAAACTCAGTGAGCGACGGGGGGAACGAATTAAAATAAGATATCACTTCTGTGGGGTAGAAGTTAACTGACTTCTACCCCACAGAAGTGATTAGTTAAAGTATTTTTTGTCAGGTTGATACTTTTAGTTTGGTTCACAGACATCAGGTTCTGGTCAGGTTAACTGCAGCCAGCAACTTTAATCACATTCATATTGAGTAACATGAGTGATGACTATCCATCCATGGACCGTACACAGGGGTTCATAATTTACCATAGGAGATTGATAATTTTTTTTTTTTTAAATGATGATAATTAGTGTCAATAAATTTTCTTTTTAAATGATGATAATTAGTGTCAATTAAAGGTTAATTTTCACTGTTTCATGGGCTTCACTGATCCTCTAGTTCTGGATGAGGCTGTGGTATGACTCTAGTTCAGATTGTTATTATATAAACTTTACAATATTGATGGAGCCAGATGAACCTGTGGTTTCTGGTTCAACATCATATGCGCTCTGTTATGCAATTTGTTTTGCTTTTATGTACAGCAACATTTGCCATGGAGCAGAAATGTACTGCAGCTCTCCGCTGACCTCCGCTTGTCATGATGTAACAGCTCCCATAGCCGTCGCTGCTGCTGCTGCTGCAGCCTCATGCCAGTTGCACGCTCAGTCAAAATGACAAACCTCTGAATTGAATGGTTCCCTCCTTAATGGCTTTGCTCACTTAAGCTTGCGGACTTCCATGCCTCCATAAATTTCTGTTGTTCTCCACCCTTATTGTAAATCTTCATGGTAAGACCACTAATAGGGAGTCCTAATAAGATCCAGACAGGCCTCTATTCTGTGGCCCAGTGATATAATTACATTTTTATTTGATAATCAAATAAAGGGTGGAATGAAATACTTGAAGAGCAATGTGCGGTTTCTCCTTGGCCTTTTTCCCTCCCTGGCAGATTTTCATCTCTAATCTCTGTCTTTAGTCGGAGAGTGAGATGGAGTGTGTTTCCATTATGATTAATAACTGCTCTCCATTAAGAGAGCATTAGTCTAACGCTAAGCAGAGACAGTCAGTGACAGGGAGCCATTGAGAAAAAAAAAGAACATGAGAGA